ACACCGGCGCCCCCCCCCCCCCCCCCGTGGTTTTCTGCTCTGTCTGGGGTCCCCTCCACCAAAATAGCATTTCAGGGGCTGGAGGGGGAATCGCTTTAACCTGCAGACTAAAAAACAACCTGCAGCAACAGTGTAAAAGTAGCCAAATTCTTCGGTATAACCGTGGACATGGCAACACTGGTGGTAATTGCATAAACTGTCAATGGAGGGACAGAAATCTCTAAGATTTAATTAAAAATATCTTAATTTGTGTTCCAATGACGAAAGAAAGTCTTATGGGTTTGGAACGACATGATGGTGAGTAAACAATGACAGAATCTTCACTTTTGGGTGAACTAAGTTTTAATGCATTCATTCCTGCAGAGCTCCAGGGTTATTTCCTGCATGCTCATCCTCCTCCGCATTTCCAAGTGCAGCTGTTTTTTGAGTGCTGTGACCCTTCTGCAGACAAGAGACCCCTGATGGTCCAGGTAATGACCTTTGACCTCTCCAAACAATAGTTGCCTCCACATGATTAAACATGGCTAAACTTCTCTTGTCCTACAGGTGGAGCCGCTGTTTGCCCGTCAGCTGCTGCTCCTCCTCCAGCAGGGCGGCATGAACTACATGAGGAGCACCCATGAACTCTCACCTCTGACCCCTGAGCAGGTTTACCCCGCACACCAAGATTATCCTGTTGTCAGCGGACATCAGACGCACGGCAACTTCGTACAAGAGTGACCCCAAAAGAGTTACAAGACATTAAGACACCAATTTTTAAAATACAGTTGATAATATTAATAACCCCAAATCTATGTATAGGCTGTTTACTGTTGCCAAGCCACGTAGCTACTTAATGCATTAATACAGAGTCTGAAAATCAATCAATCAATCAATCTGAATTTAAAAATTCAGAAAAAAAAAGAAAAAATTATTTTATAAATATATTTTATAAGGAAATATATATATATTACATATAATAAAAATTATGAAAAATAAATGAATATTTTGATGTCTGTGTGATTAATAACTTATATTTTTATACTTTACTTTCTTTGATTGCACTGTTTTTGCATTGTAAAACTGTGATTCAACAGCATCTCAGGGACAAAATCTGTTTAAAATGAATGTATATGGTTGGAATAAAATACTATATACTAATAACCTCTTCTTTTATTGCATTTATTTGGTTCACTTTCAAATACAGAAATACACAATAAATATGACATTCACTGGTTACCATACACAACCGGACAGTGTTTGAAATCAGAGACACTTGTAAACTTTTTTTTTTCACTAATGGACCATGAATGTGGTTAGTTAATGCCCACAGATGCTGACTAGTAGTGAAATGAGTGGACGTTTCCAAAGAGGGGTGCCTTCAACCGCAAGAACGGACTTTGCACCGTGCATCTGTTCACGCTTAAATCACGTAATAATCGTGCTACCGCAAAACAGGAAGTGACATCGGTCAGTGATTGCATACACAAACCCACAGTGAAGTGGTGAACCTGATTTGCTAGAAAGTGATGTGACTTGGTTAATGAAATCAGGAGTGCGATTACCATAGTGTTCACGAGTAATACTGGCATCATTTCAAGTGCTTCCCTTTCGAACAAACTAGAAAAGGTCCCTAAAATATCACAAAACAGCAAAACAATCACATAGGAATACGACTATATGTCACCTCCAATACATATACATACATATATATATATATATATATATAAAGAAAACACTCAAATAGAAAAATAAAAAAAACGAAATATAAAAACTGGAGAACAAGGCAAATATAATGCTTTGGTCAACAAAATCAATTTGTGGACATATTGGCATTGTGAAAATACGAATGTGAAAATACACCAACTAAACGCATCAAATCGCCACGATGTACACAAAAATTACGATTTGAGAGACTGGCCTCAAAGTGACAGATTTGGCCACCCGAATACGTCTTCGGCTTTGAACACTTCCCGAATATCGTACACAGTCCTCGTCATTCACATACACGTATATATGTGTTAATATATTGGTTATATTTCAGCAGGAGAACATATTGCATGCTGGGATAGCTGTGGGCGGCATCGCTGCCACGAAATTCTCTCTCCGTGCTCAGACCAGGAGAAACCAAGTAAAACCATGTCGGCCGGATTCACATGAACAGCCTTGTACAATTCGGGATAAAGCGTCAAGTAGACATCAAGTAATCATGTCGTAAGCGTGGCATGGGTTAGCATGCGCTCATTCGAAGGCCCACACCTCCAGGTTTTGGAGCGTGGCGTGGATACGTTATGCGCTCATTCGAAGGCCCACACCTCCAGGTTTTGGATGGTGAAGTCCTGTTTGGAGGATAGTGGCAGGTTGTTGAAGGTGGAGCATTTGGACGTGGTGCCATGGTAAAGGTCAGCATTCAGCCACAGGCCCAGATGACCCCTGGGAGACGGACAGTTGAGCGTTAAACACGCAGCAGCGAAAGATGCATTGCATGGCACAGAGCTGGGTAGATTATTTACAAATTGTAATCCATTACTGATTCCAAATTCAGAGATGCAAACAGGTAAGGGAGGAAAAAGGTGAGAAAACTGCGTGGATCGGGGGCATGCTCCACACAGAATTTCTTTTAAAGATATTTGCTTTACATGCTCATTTGTAGTTATTTTAAGGTATATATTTTAAATATTTACATTACGTTCAAAACTATTTTTTTACAAAAAAAAAAAAATTTAACATCTAGTTTGCAACATTTGACAAAAATCAAGACGGAATATATTTGGTCAAAATCCCATGTTATAAAAGATGAAGTGCTATGCAGGCTATTTAAGACAATATTGGCTGATTAGACGGCAATGCTGACGTAAAACGCTAAATGTTTGCCCTCTTCATCGTTCCCACATCTCAGACCTCAAATACATAAAATATTACACTTTTTACACATAGTTTTTGAAGTAAAGAAAATACTAGGGCTGGGTAAAAATATTAATATCTCGATATTAATCGATTCTTATTTTTACGGAACAATATAGATTCTTAAATCCCAAGAATCAGTTAGTCTAGCCTGTTTTCAGTTAATGGACGGAACATTGAACGGCACTTCCCATGCAATAAATCACAATAAGCATTGTGCTTTGGTCCTTTTAATATGAAAAAGTCTCAGATTTCAAATTCTGTCATTGTATTGCAGTATTCAAACAATAAATGCCGTTTTGGCGCTGTTTAATGTGGAGTGACAGATCGCTGTAGCGCCTCAGTGAACTGATCATCTCCTCCGCTTTATTACTAGTTATAGCACAAAATAAACATGACTAAACATCCGAAGGTAAGTTAAAAGAAAGAGTACAACTTTACAATCCGTATCCTGTCTCATGTAATCGCTCAATCAGTGTTTCAGCCGCGCAAAGACGCCAAAATAACGTCTTGTAAACAATGTCACGTAACATTTACCTCATAAAAACATTCGTGACCATAAACTCATTAGTCAGCTAGAAAAATTAACTGTAGAGAGGGGCATTTTGCTAAATATATGCACCATATAAGCACCATATATGCACTGTTCTTCAATGTTTAATTTATGTTTGAATAAATCCATCAAGTTTTTATGACAGCCACCATTATGTTTATATAAAAAAAACCCGAATTGAAGTAGAAATATTATTATGTAATTGTAACTTTATT